CGGCTCTGAAGATTGGCTAAACAGATTTGCAGATTTACGCGGTGTGTTTTTCGGTGGTGACAGTGCTGGAGCTAATATAGCACACAACATGGCTTTGAAATTGGGGTGTGAGGGATTGGTTGGTGTTAAGCTTATTGGGATTGTATTGATACATCCTTACTTTTGGGGCACAGAGCCAGTTGGGGAAGAGTTAACTATCCCTGCAGCTAAAAGAGAGTATGCAGCTGCAATGTGGCGTTTCGCTTGCCCTTTGAGTATCGGATCCGATGACCCGCTTTTCAACCCGGGAAAGGATCCGAAGTTGGGGGAATTGGGTTGTGAGAAAGTGCTGGTTTGTGTTGCTGAGAAAGATGTTTTCAAAGATAGGGGGTGGCATTATAGTGAGGTACTGAAGAAGAGTGGATGGAATGGGGTTGTGGAGGTCATAGAAGCAAAGGGAGAAGAACATGTGTTCCATTTGCGCAATCCCACTTGTGAGAATGCTGTGGCCATGAAGAGAAAGATTGCTTCCTTCTTGAATTAGAATAATTTGCCTGAAAATCTTGGTATACTTAATAATACGACCATAGCCTCTAAGCAAGGTTGGTGGTTTTCTATTGTTGTAATTTCTATTGGTATCTTTTCTTCATTTGTTTCATGTATGTTTCTTTTCTTCATTTGTTTTATCCCTTGTATGTTTTCGTCCTGCAAAATCATTTTATGCCTAAGGGAAGCTACAGTAGTTGAGGGTAGGTCTGTTTTCAAAGACTTTATTTAATATGGTAAGCTGTCATTTTTAAGGTTTTTTTTTAAAAAATTTGTTTATAGAAATTAAATGGTGTACTCGGAACATACGACAATTTCTCAAAATAAATAGGGAGACAATTAATTGATCTTACACGTTTTTTTGTTGTTGGTACTTATGGTTTTTCTCCATGAGATATAGCATCTAATTGTTGTTCCCAAGCAATTCTCTTACAAAGAATACAATGAAGTGAAAATAAAATAAAAATTTATCTTAATTAGCTAGGGGACAGGTTCTTCATCAACAGCCTCCCTCTTGTCCCATTCAACATTTCGACAACTAGACAATGACCGACATATCTGCATTTGTAAATTGTATCATTCAATCTCAAGAACAATGCCGTCACTCACTTACTGTGTGGTACATTATATATGGCGCCAGGTACGAATCCACATAGTGGGCTGTCTGGGCTATAGCCCATACAATTTTTTTTTGTATTTGTAATACCATATAGTATTCTTAAGATAATAAAAAAAACTTAATGGAGATAGCCCATCCCAAAGCTGCAAGAAGAAAGAATAGAAAGATGGAGCAGACGGAGAGAGAAGAAAGAAAAGAAGAAGAGAGGAAGAAGGAAAAAGAATAAAGAAAGAGGGAGAGGGAGAGAGAGAAAGAGAGGAAAAAAGAATTAAAAAAAGAGAGGGAGAGATTAAAAAAGATAGAGACGAGAAAATATAATAAAAAAGAGAGAGGGGGGAGATATGTGTTTTTATTTTGTTAGAGCATCTACAATGGGCTCCTTAAACTACCTCCTTAGACAAATTTTAGGGAGGAATCGTAAAATTGCAACTCCAACCACATTCTCTATCCACCTCCTAAAATATGGAGTTCTCTAGGAGCTTCTAAATCTGAGGAGAGAGAAAGGACTCCTAGTGGCTCCCTATAATTTAATGCTGCTTTATTTAATGAGTATTTCAAACATTTATTTAATGCTAACTATTTTTTTATTTTATTTTATAATAGAGATGGACCAATTAAAAAAGAGTTAAAACATTTATGATTTTCCAAATTATGGAGTATGGTTGGAGTTGAAATTTATAAAGAGCTCATAAAATAGCTTTCTTAGAGCATCCACAATAACGCTATCTATTTCTTAGCTAAAATTTGGCTAAGAATATAAGAAAGTTATTTTAGAAGCTTTCTAAAAAATTTCAACTTCAACCATACTCCATAATTTGGAGAGTGATAAATGCTATAACTCTTTTTTGATTGGTCCATCTCCATTAAAAAAATAAAATAAAAAATGGTTAGCATTAAATAAAGGTTTGAAATACTCATTAAATAAAGCAGCATTAAATTATAGGGAGCCACTAGGAGTCCTTTCTCTCTCCTCAGATTTAGGAGCTCCTAGAGAACTCTCTATTTTAGGAGGTGGATAGGGAGCGTGGTTGGAGTTGCATTTTTATCATTCCTTCCTAAAATTTGTCTGAGGAGGTGGTTTAGAGAGTCCATTGTGGATGCTCTTATATTCTTAGCCAAATTTTAGCTAAGAAATAGAGAGTATCATTGTGGATGCTCTTAGGTGCACTGCCCCACAAAATGGGATGTTTTTATTTTATTATTACTTTCTTTTTTAACTTTAATTCCTTATAAATATCTTCTTCATTTTTTCTTTCTTTGTTTCCCTTCAATCCCTTCCAAATATTTCAACAATATTATCAATAATTCCAACATTTTCTCTATTTCAAATGTCGTATAATAACAAAAAGTTCTAAATACGATGAAGAAAATATACTAAAAAAAGAGTGCTTATATAAAATAAAAATATAACAAACTAGGGCTTATGATTTACCCAAAAAAAATAAATTATCCACCCTTGTGGGTTACCTCTAGTTTTTAGTTCCTAAAATCTATTGTCCAAGCCTAAAAATCTACAAAAACCAACCAAAATCCACAAAACTCATGCACCAAATTTTCTTAATACATTTGTACTTAAGATAAATTTAGCCCACCCGATTTGCAATTCCTGGATCCGTCCCCGCTACAAATAATTCATTCAAGTTATAATACAGCACATGTTAAGTTTCAATGTCAGAATTTAAATTTAAATTAATTAAGTAAATTCATGTCATGTAGTATTATCATCGCATGGACAACTAAGGGAGGCAAAATTCCTTGCATATGTTCACATTTTCGAAATTCACGTAAGAAATCATGTAGCATGTAGGGGTGGTTGTGGTTCGGTAACCGTGAATTTTTACTCAAACCGCAAACCGACCGCATTTTGCGGTTTACCGCAATGGTAAACCTCAAAATGCGGCCGGTTACCGCTAATTAGCGGTTTAAAACCGCAAGTTTTCAAGCATTCACAAAAATATAAATTCACAACCTAAATAAATAAATACACAACCTCAATTTCTCAAGCATATATAAATTCACAATCTCCTCAACTTCTCAAGCATTCACAACCTAAGAAAATTAAAGTTACAATTCCAAGTATTCCAATTAAAGTTAAACTTCTCAAGCATTCAAATTCCAAATCCTTTAAAGTTACAAACCAAAAGGAAAATGCAAAGCAAAATGAATTAAAGTTACAACCAAAGAGAAAAATCCAATTCAAAGTTAACTAAAGTTACAAACTAAAAGGAAAATGCAATGCACCAATGTTACAAACTCAAGTGTTGGTGGTGAGTGGATTTGAAGAACCTTGTTGTGTTGTTTGAGCACCAATGTTATCTACAAATAAAACAACATAGTTTAATACATTTTATTATAAAAAGAAGCATAAATAACATTAGCATAAATAAACTAATTACTTACAAGTTGTCATATGTTTCATTTCCTTGTAGAATTCAACCTCATCATCCGTGTGGCTATACTTTGCGGTTTGCGGTAACCGCAAGTTTTGAAAATCAAATACCGCAACCGCAAATGCGGTTCGGTTCTTAATACCGCAAATGTGGTTCGATTTACCACGATTGCGGTTTCATTGCAGCAAATTGTAGGTTGATTTTTGCAGTTTTTCGATTTTTCACCCCTAATAACATGTAGAACTGCTTACCCCTGATGTTCTTTCAATGATCAGAAACGTTTCGTGCAATTGATGAAGGGTAGCCGCTCGTTTTACATGTATACACTTCTTAATCAAACAATCATAAATTATGTGAGCAACTTATGTGAAAAAAGATTTAAATATAACTAATGGTGAAGCAATCTTTTCAAATAGTACTATTACCGTAGTAAATAATTTCATATAAATATGAGATTAATAATAATAAAAATTGCTAGGTATGTATAAAAAAATATTCATTTTTTTTACGTTGATGATGTCATCGCCCTCACATTTTGTGGAGCCCACCATCTACCTGAGTTGGATTGGTGCGCTGGAAATGGTTTTTGGGGCCTAGGGGGCCTTTTGTCTAGGCTAGGCTGCTAGGGTGGAAATGCTCTTCATATATTGTCAATAATGTCTTATTATTTCAAGGGACATTTTGGAAAAAGCAAAAGGAGAGAGAAATTTTAAAAGAAGCAAAAATGGACAAAAATGTCCTTATTTATTTTTAGATTTCCTAAGGAATCTAATACATTTGCATGTCTTTGATTTGAAAGTTGAGTGGTTTTTTTGTCTTTTTTGAAAAAGCTTTGGCTTTTTCCAAAAGTGAAAAAAAATTTATGTCTAAAACCAAAAAAACCTTTATTTCAATAGCAAATAATCTCCTATAATCTTGAATATTGTTAATTTGCTACATGAATAATGTTTTTTGGGAATTTTACTACAGTAATAGTGGTATTTACCTGTATTTCCTTAAATTAGTTTCACAGTGATCAGAAGTTTCAAACATTTGATAAGTGATAGGGCTATCAACTAACTAATGAAGAGGACAGAATTATTAGCTAATCAGTTTTGTAAGAATAATTTAGAGGAAAATGACTGCAAATGAAATCAATGTATCCTGAAAAAGAAGACAAAAGTAGCATACATAAGCACTGAAAACGCAATAAAACCAATCAAAACTCGTCAAGAAAAAAAATGATATCCGGATTAAGATATGAACCATTGAATTTGTTTGCCGACCTAAATAAAACCAAGACTTCAAAATCAAATATATGAAAAGATCTACCTGCCCTTGTCTTTGCCAAAACTAAATGCATGAAATTCCAAAGGAAGGAAGACAAAAATGTCCAACACCAGCCAATTTGTTTTTTTATAGAAATAATTTGAAGGGTCCACGGAAACCCACCAAGGCCCTAATAAAAACATAAATTTTGCAGTTACTCTGCAGACTGCTGTCTGCACAAGAAAGAGACAGACTGAGAGAGAGAAAGGCCTCCATACTTGTTTGTTATTATTCTCTTTCCTTCCTTCTCCAATCCAAATCATGAGCAACGAAGAAATAGCCCATGATTTCTCTCCCATGATTAAAGTCTACAAAGATGGTCGAGTTGAGAGACTCCTAGGCACATCAACAGTTCCTCCGTCAACACATCCAGAGAATGGCGTCCAATCAAAAGACGTTGTGATCTCACAAGAACCAGCCATATCTGCAAGGCTTTACATCCCAAAATCCGCCGCCACAAGCTCACCCCAAACCACACT